GGGGAAGGGTTAGCACCCCCACAACGCCCAAACTTTGGTACCTAAACGATTATATATTGTTTAAATATTGGGAATTAAAAACTCAAAAATATATTTAAATTACGATCCTTTTATTCATTCGAATTTATTTAAAAAGTGTGAACAATCTTCTAGAAAACACTTCCTTTGTAGTTAGGAGACTTTCCCATAAATTCACCTCACAAAAATGTTATTTCACAAATTTTGCCAAGATAAAATAAAATGCAATAAAATAAAATAAAAATGAAAAGCGATGAAAAGTACTCGAAATAAATAAACGTAGAACAAATACAATTATCGAATACAAAACAACAATTATGCGAAAAATCCTTGAAAATATTCCTTCCCTTTAGTTGGAAGATATCTTCATACATAGATTTCCCTCACATTGAAACTTTTTCATTTTCGTATATACATGTAATTATAATGATCGATAAAACACAATTACAAATTTGGACTAAAATGCACATTTACGAACATGACTAGCTAAAATACAAATAAAAATAGACATGCTTAGTAAAATAAAGGACTAAATAGCAAAAATGAAAATTTACAGGACTAAAACAACACAAATAGAAACTTAAAGGATTAAAATAATAAAAAAATAGAAAGTTAAAAGACTAAAATAGTAAAAATAGAAAGTTCAGGGACTAAACTATTATTAACAAAAACTGGAAGGATCTATTAAACAAATATGAATAAATCAGAGCCGCAATAATCAATTTGAAATAAATACAAGTACCATAAATGAAAATAACCCAAAAATCACATTAAGGACTAAAATAAAATAACCAAAATGGAGGACTAAGCAATAATTAAACCATACCATGCAGTAACTAAAATAAAATATTTACAAATGACATGGCCAAATTCAAATATTAACAGAAATAACAAAATAAGTAAGAACATGACTAAAATATAAATAAGGAAACATTAGTACCCGAAATCAAATAAATGAAACTTCATTAAATGGCTACAACATGATATTACAAAGCATAGAGGACTTAAAATGTAATTATACCCAAGCATGAAAACATGGATGGGTGAAGTGCCAAAACGGCAGCGTTGTGGTTTGGGTATTTAAACCAAAACCGGAGCCCCAACTCCGATCATCCCTCATTCTCTCATTACAGTAAACAAAAATAGAGAGAGAAAAAAAGGCTCTCTCAACTTCCCCTCGTCGGGGAGAGAAAAGCAGTTACCGCTAGCGTTAGACACGGTGGCGAAGCCTACGGCGGCACACGGCAGCCGGAGAAAAAGAACTTCCCAGAATATCCTTCTCAATCCCCTCTGTTCCGATCTAAAGCTCTTTTTCCCTACAAATGACCATAGAAACCCCGATCTAGCGATATACCTTTCAGACGAAAAAGAAAATTTGACGACTTTTGGTGTTCCCGACGACTTCTCCAACCAGGGAAAGAGTTCTTTCATTCTCTCTTTGCTTTTCTTTCTTTTTTTTCTTTCTTAGTTTTGTTGTATTTTCTTTTTCCTTGTTTGTTTGTTCGAATGCACTCTGCTTTTCTCCTTTTTTTTCTTTGAGACCCCGAATGGTTTTTTTTTGTATTTTCTCTCTATTTTTTCTCTACCAACTCTCTATATTTGTTTTACCCCGAATCCTTATCTCCTCTCTCTTTCTTCTCCTCTTTTATGTTGATGTATGTTGATATCAAGAGGTCAATCCCTTGGGATTTTGAGTGTGATTTGTTTTGATATTTTATTGGGGTTTTTTTATGGACGTTTTCCTTTGACAGATTGAGGCACTATTGGAGCAGATGGGAGCAGTCAACTGAACAGACGGCGGTGACAACATCACAGACTGGCGGCGGTGGTGACATTAATCCCTAGGGTTAGGGTTTTAGAAACCCTAGGGGACCGGATCAGATCCAGGTCGCTGGGCGGATTCGGGTTTTACTGATGGGTTTGATCTCGTGTCTGCTCTGGATTCCAATTTGGTCGGGTTTGAGTTGTAACCGAGATTGGGTAGGTTAGCTGGGCCAGTTGGCCTTGTATGTTATCTGGGCTCCGGATCTTGGTTTGTAAACAAAAATGTAAATAATATTAAGAAAAATAACCATAATAATAATAATAATAATAATAATATAATATAATAATATTTTTTGGTAGACCCAGACAAAAACAAGTGTCTACACTATCAACTAAAAGATTTGATCAGATCAATTTGAGTTCGATTGTGGACTAATTAGTGAATTGGTAAAAACATATTACTAATTGAATATTCGATCAAAACCCAATATCTTACTATTAGATATGGACCCAATTCATTGAAGACGTACAAGTTTAAATTACATGTTTCAAGTAAATAAAAAAATTATAATTTTTAAATAGTTATTCTTAATTTGAGCTCAAATAAATTTCATTTAGATTACTTTCAGTCTAAACCTTTTATTAAATAAAGGTTCTGATCAATCCATTCAAATTTTGAGGTTGAACTCAAAATTAATAAATCTATTTGGCAGTTGCAAGAGCCTTCGCACTTTACCCACCTATCCACACCCATGAACTTAGTGGCGGATCCAGAAATATTTTTCAGGGTAAGCATGCATATATATTAATTATATAAAATTTTGATAAAGAGTGGGCATAACTAAAATTTCAAGGTAGACAAAACTATTAAAATATGAAATTATCCGAAAAAAATTCGAATTTCAAAGTTGTACACGTGCTCACCCTAGATCCTTAATAGATCCGACACTTGGTAGAATTGATCATATATTAAAATTAACACAAGTGAACTAATAACTTAAAACAAATTAAGGTTTAATCGAGAAACTTATAATTACAAGAAAATGTAACACTTTTATTAATACACAATACAATTGCAATATAACACACTTACTCCATTATTTTTTTTCTTTTCTACCTATAAGTTCTCTTACTCTTAACACATTGTTTACTCTTTTCACTACTCTAGTAACAACAATAAATTCCATCTCATATTTATAGATTTTAGTGTTCATTGGATTGTTGATACATGTCAACATTTTAGCTATCAATCTTATAAATGTTGAGAATCTTTTATAGATAATTCTAGATGTAATATCAAATATTACAAATATCTAGATTATTTTACAAATAGTTTTAGATATATATTATTTTTATATTATATTAGAATATTGTCAAGATATATCTCACAAATGATAATTATATTTATATGGTGGCTTTCCAACATTCACATTTTTAACGATAAAAGAGAAAATCTTTTATTTTAAAAAAAAAAAAAAATTAGTTAATTTGTATAAATTACTTTTAATTTGACACTATTAATTATTCTCCATCATTGCCTGCAACCGCATGTCAATAAAGCTTTTGTTTTCATATTCGTTAGATATCTAGTATGACTTGAAAGTATATCATGGTGCATTCCCTCTATCTTAGCTTGAGTTTCTTCTCATGCTTCCCTAGTCGAATGAGGCAACAATATCGACCCTGTAATGTATTCAGAACTGGCTAGAGATGTCTCGTACAAAACAAATTACCTATAATAAGGTTAATAAATAGTGTGACCGGTAAAAAAGATAATAGATTAAAAATGGAGCACAAAATGTTATAAATCATAACCGAAAAGTTATCAGCCGGAGTAAAATAACAGGTTGCACTAAAATGTAATATCAAGTAAGAAAATGAGTTATAATCGGTAAATGTTATGGATACTATTAACATTTTAGGTTTCGCTTAAAAAGTTACCAGAGTTTAAGATAATATCGCCTTAACCATTCTCACAATAAGAAAATAAATTAAAAGATGAAAATGTATATAATAAATACAGTTGCATCAAGAATATCATGGTTCACTAAGAAATAGATTATTATCTCTAAAATTAATAGTTTTATTAATTATTCAAAAGTGTTTATAGATTTTAATCCGTTGATTGATTCAAATATATTATTTTAATTTTTGAAATGTATTTATTAATTAATGTTATGAACTATAGCTGAAAATTTTGATTTAGTATTTATAAACTTTAATTCTTTGATTTAGTATGCATAAAAAATTTCTTTGATTTAATATATATATATATTATTTTGATATTATGATTGATATTTATAAATTTATGTTTGGTATATATTAATTAATTCAAATATAATATTTTGATTTTTGGAAAGTTGCTCATTCGTTTGATCCATGTTTGTCCACTCGTCGTCGTGAAGTTAATCATCATATGATTCATGGTCGGATATATTTTTTTAACATAAAAATCTCAACAAATGTTTGACATTTCCTTTAAATTTGCTCTATTTATTTTAGATTTTTTTAGTTCTCTATTTTTGTGCAGGTTTGTAAACTAATTTTTACAGATTTTTAGGTTGTGTTACAAATTTTTTACATATTATAATTTTATCATGTTATTAGAATTTTTCTAAATTAACCATGCTGAAATCTAAAAATAGGTAATGATTTTGTCATTTTTCGATGTTGGGTGCAAAGTGAATTTGGAAGGAGTTTGGTTGACCAGGTGTCAGTTGTTATTGGGGTTAAGAGTATTGGATATGAATTGTATATTAAATTTGGATTGCATATTGAATTTGAGTTTTAATTAGATATATTTTTAGTTTTATTTTGATTCGGGCTTGATGAATGAATTTTTAAATCCAAACAAAATAATGTTTATAAAAGACATTTTTAGTTATTTTTGGGCATAAATAAATTTAGGATGGGTAAAAAAAATTTTAGTATAAGCAAAAATTAATTTAAGTACACACCCTAAAAGCTTATAGCTTTGCCACTGCATGGACTTGGTCTTCAAGTTTTACCGTTGACCAGAGAGGACTGCATTTATAGCCATAGTCAGTCATACGTAGATAACAGTAACGTAAATAAAAATTTCAAAAAAAAAAACAACAACAACGACAAAATTGAGCATGAAAAACAATACTACTACCAATTTAATCAATTTAAACAAATTAGCTCTAAAATCTCACTTAGCTATCCAAACTCATCAGGAAAAATTATAAAAAAATATAACTCTACTTAATCGCCATCATCTGTATCGTATGTACGTCTTTTTACAGTAGAAGCTTCCAACTGATTCTTCCGATCTGGAATCCCTGGTTTTAATTTCAGCGCAAGCAGTTAGAGCAGGAAGCGTTAAAGAAAACCCTAGCATACTGTTGAAAGTAGCAACCGTAGCAATAGCATCCTCTGACGGGATATTCCATCGACGGTACCGGGGAAAAACTCCGGCGACATAATGTGGCTTTCACCGGAGAACATGAGCCGGACGATTTTGACGACGACATATTGATACTGGAAGTATCTGACGGAAGAGAGGATATTTTCTTGAGCGACTCTGGGGGTGAAAGGATCGCGCGGATCTTAGACGGTGCAGATTTAGAAATCAACGCCGCCTCGTCGTACTCGTCGATTATATTCGTTAAATCCTCATCCGACTTTATGGAGATCAAAAAATCTAAATCGCCTTCGGGTAACTGACACCTCAAGGTCACCGAATATCCACAAAATTCAACGAGCTTCACCATCAACTCTGCAACAAACACGAAACAATTGAATCCCCTTCTTCTTTTCGATAGAAATCAAGGGACAAAGGGAAATACAGTTATCACAAAACAAACCTGTAAATGAAATAGAACGATCAACAGAGAGAACTCTTGTATGTCCGCCGACGTAACGGAGCTTGCCATCGGTAGAACGGGGAAGAATAATGCCTCCGTAACTGTAAAGAAATTTGACGGTCCGTGAGGTTTTGTTGTCGGATTGAGTTTGCGAAACCATTATTTTGGTCTTCCAATTTGTGTGTGGAGCGTTGGTTTGTGTCAATGGGACTCTGTTTGAGAAGGTCAAAGAAAGTTAGAGAATAAATGGGGGCGGAGCAGAGCAGAAAAAGAAGGGATTTTGTTATGAATATGAACTGAAAACGAGAAGGGGGGAGCCCAGGGATATATATACGTGTAGAGTCGTGGGTCCTACACGCAAACGGTAGAGTAATTAATTAGAGTTAGGTTGACATTTGTTGTTGGAATTAGGAAATTCCTTTTCTTTTCTTTTTATTTTCAATTAGGGAAATAATTGTCGTTGTTTGCGAGTATTCTTCGTCTACTCCGGGCTGCCTTCTATACCTACTTTTATTCAATTTCCTTCATTAATTAATAATCATTTGACTCCTCGCAACAACTCTTGACCGAGTGAATTTAAAAAAAAAATTATTAAAAATACGAGAGCTGAGAAATTATTTTCCAGGCAATTTGACCAAAAAAATCATTGTATAAATAAAATATTATATGTCAATCATCGTTTTATAAATATTGCTCGATCTAACACCTGAGAGAATGAGGTGTGTTCGGTGAAACGCGCTTTAGAAGTAAAATACGGTTAGTAAAAAGAGCCTTAGTCGAAAATCGCTGACACCCAATAAAACCGTCGATACCCCAGGAAGGTGCAACCCCAGGGGATCGCATTACTGTGGTTTGCTGACAACCTTGGAAGGTGCATCCCATGGGCACGCCTTCCCCCTCTCGCCCCGATATCCTGCCTTCCCCCTCCCGCCTATTTCCTCAACTGACTGTCTATATAAACCCCCTCCCCAACTCACATAAATCACATCTAAATATCTATCATTTCTATCTTTTTTTAATCTAGTAATGTATAATTTATTATTTTATTCATTAAAATTTTTTATTAATTAATTAATCAATTATTTTATTATTATTTTATTTTAATATTTAATATTTGATTATTTAATTGTAAACTTATTTAGTTAATAGTTATTAATTGTAGTTAAAAAATGGAAGACACATTGTTACGATTTGATGCTGATCATATTTCGAGTCATTTTACTGATACGGTAAGAATACAAAACTATATTCATTTTAAATTTAAGAATATTCGATTATATATTATTTAAATTATTAGAATTTATTGATTTGAATTTATTTAAATAATTTTGAAATAGTAGTTCAAATTTTAATAGTTAGTTTATTTGTTAGTAAATTGATTGTATATTAGAAGTTTTTATTCGCAACAAGAAGATGGAAACACCGAGGTGTATCTGACCATATTTTTCTAGGTTGGATTCGATTACTTTGCAAAAATTAAAAGAGGTTATCAGCTTGAAACCACCCTGATTTCTGTACTAATTAAGAGATGGAGGCCAAAGGCACACACGTTCCATCTATCATGTGGGGAGTGTACCATTACGCTAGAGGATGTTTCAATGTAACTGGGCTCCCGGTCGATGGAACTACCATTTATGGTGTGACAGATGATGATTGAGGGGTTTATGCAGGGAGTATCTTGGAAGTTGTCCGCCCAGTTTCAAGCGGTGGTCGAATAACATTAAGGTGACTAAAAAGTGAATTTAAAGAGTTGCGTGAAAAATTGTTCGGAGGACAAGGCAAAAGCATTTTCCTGGGCATATATACTACAACTCATTGGAGATATATTGATGTTTGACAAATCTCGGAACCAAGTCCATTGTATGTGGTTGAGGTTCCTGATTAATTTTGAAATAACTGACACATTGAGTTGAGGGTCTGCAGTTTTGGCATTTATGTTTAGAGAAATGTGTTGGGCTATGAATTACAAGAAAACATATATTGGTGGTTGTCTCATGCTTCTCCAATTGTGGGCATGGTATAGCATGTCTTTTCTGTGTCCGATCGTGAATGAGCGAGCCATATGCCTTTCCATTACTTTCAAGGTATCAATAGTAAATTTATTTTTAAATATGTTTTTAATTATTATAGAATGACATATATATATTTATATTAAATAGATGGTCAAGTAATAGGAAAATTCATCGTGATATCCTACAAGAATTACAAGATATTCGATTACTCATTGACCAGAAAGATGGTGTAAAGGTACATTTTTTAATTTTAATTTTTTATTTAATTGTATTTATATAATTTGAATCTCATTTTAATTTTGATAAGAAATCTATATTTTTGTTTTAATTCAAATGGTTGCCATATTTGGACGAAGAATTGAGGGTTTGCATCCCACCTAACCTTAGTGCGATATTAGATGTATGGGTGGAAGTTGTGCCCCTTATTTGTTATGCTATTATTGAGTGGCACCCCACTGATCATGTGATTCATTAGTTTGGGTTTACACAATTTATTCCAGAAGCACCAAGGAACCTCGATAACATCAATAGACAAGCCAAGAAAGAGGTAAATTGGTTAGTAAAGCATAGAGACTGGTTGGCGATGCAGGAGAAATGGTATCAACACTTTCCCCATTGACAGTATATAACATAAACATGTTTGATGGTTTTAGATGGCTATATTGAATGGTTCAAAGAAAACGAGAAGCCATTCTTACTTTCATAGGAAGCACAAGGGGGCAATTCATCGTCGTCGACAAAAACGTTCGACGTCACAATATCATCATCCCCCACTACTAGTCGAAGAGTATGTGCTTTTGGGTCATCCTCAGCTATGCCACTGAAACCATCACACCAGCAACCAGCGACGTCGGTTTACATCCCGAGCCCTCTAACTCACATGGAGACACCATCGTTCCAGACGCCACCACAATCGATTCATATGCCACATCTGCACCATATCTGTCAGTTTAGAAGACGCCACCATTTGATTACGAACAGAGCTCACATGGTTTCATAACACCCACTAGTGGATATTTGTTTACTATACTTATGGATCCAACATTTAGTTCTTACGCGAATTATGTGGCAGATGGTCTAACACCATAAACACCTCAACTGCAGTATGTGTCATAGACATCGATGTATGGTTTTTTTTACAATTTTCGTAGTTCTCAACGAGTGCTGGGATCGTCAGTCATACACCTCCAGGTCCTTATTCTACAGAGGTCATATATCAACATTCAACCCATATCGAGAAAATTTGTTGAGAGTGATGATGATTATGAGGATAAGGAGGAGGAGGATGGAGATGAGGATGATGATGACGAGGAGGAGGAAGATGACAATTATAGGGACGATGAGGAGCAACATATAAGAAGAAACACTCATAGAAGTAGATGTCCAATACCTTGTGGAACACATTCCAGGAGGCATTGATGAATTTGACTCTTTCAGAGCAATCTTTTTTATTTATTGTGTGTTTACTATGACATATTTGCCTCTTATTTTGTTTTTTTTATTATGTATTTATATAAAGTAATATTTTTCCTCTTAATTGGTTTTTGCCTCTTATTTTGTTTTGTTATTTTGTATTTATATAAAGTAAGTTTTTGTATGATGTTTAACGCCTTTTTGCGAACAAGAACAAACATGGAACAATAATTTGGGTAGGCTCATTTTATAGGACAACTTCCTACGGCCTATATATGTGCGAGGTGAGAGCTAATTTTAATCTATTCAGGCAAAAGCTTTAATTGTTTAGCTAGGATGACTACTATTCAGGCAAATGTTTTTTTGATTGCAAATATTTAAGCATATCTTTCAACAACAAAATTTCACTTGAGGAGTTGAAGCTTAAAATAGAAAGAAATGTTAAACTCGGGAGGAAAAGAAGAATCTCTTTGCTATATTATAGATTGCTAATATCATTTAAAAGGTTTCTTCTAAGCGATGATGTCGACCTTTTTGGTATGATTGAGACTTAATACTCTCATTCTATATCTCATGTGGATTTTTTTGTAGAGTTTGAGGATGCTGATAATGATGCTTCGATTTCGACTACCCAACAAATTAAGCTGAATGAGTTCGAGAACACAAATATAGATGATGAACACCCAAAATCATGGTTCAAATGCAATTGGGCATAGTAATATCATTAAGAAAAGTCTATTTTAATTTACTATTTTAGGTGGATGTTTATGCTTTTATTTATTGTTTAAGGTCTATCAAATATGTGTGGTATTTCTGGTTCGTTGGTTTGGTATGCTTTATGTCATGTTTAATATTTTGTTGTTTAATGTAATGTTTATGGTTTGTTGTTTTTATAGTTCACATCTATAACAAATCTCATATTGAATTTAAATAGTCCTACTAAGAACAAGATCCATTACAATATTACTTTCACATTCAAGAAACAATAAAAGCAACCTCTAAATGTGTGATCATATGAGCATTATGTTTGTGAAATTTTTTTGATGTACAAAACCTAGAAAAATTTTGGAAATAGTTGAGATATTCATGCTTTTGCAATGGAAAAGCTATTTTTTCTTCGTTTTTATATGTATTTGGTTTAGGCTACACAACACTTGAAATCCTTCTTGAAGCCTCTCTTTTATGTGAAGCAATCATGTGCCAAAAGTGTAAGTTGCTGATGAAACCTATGGTAAAGGCTTGCTTCAAGATATGACAACCAACTTCAACATTGACACAATATTTGGAAAAACACTGAACTATACCTTCCCTAAACAATGCATCTATATTTCTAGAAACATAAGTCTTTTGTACGAGCAACCATTCAGAAAGATCCAAAGTTTTCAAGACATATCGATGAAGTTAAACATTTGTAAATATGAATTTGTAATTTAATGTCAAGCAAAGTCCTAGCAAGTTAAACGAAAGCGGAGAAAGTCCTAAATAGAATTAGAAGCAGCGTAACGTAAAATCTCATCTAATATATCATTTGAGAGATAAGATAATGAATATTTAGCTGCCATTGAAAATGATGGAAAAGTCTATAAAAGTGATAGATAACATAATCAGAAAGATGCACGGAAAGATAAGTACTGAGGACCACTTGCTTCATCTCTCATATATATAGTGTCTATAAAAATGAAAAAGAAAGGCACATTTCAATGGAAGCACTTTCCCCCATTTTCAAGAATCTCTATCATTTCATGGTGTTTTCCATTATTATCCAGAGAATCTCTACCATGTCATAGTGTTTCATCCTATCC